CAAGGACTACCAGAAAATACAGCAAAGGTTTTATTTTACTACTGAAAGGGTTAAACAACAACAACAACAACAACAGCAGCTTGCATTTATAGGACGCCCTTCCCAGTGGGGGTGAATTGAAGCTCTGTGCAGGTTGTGCACTCCTTGATCGAACACCAGCTGATCATGACACGGGGCCTGGTTTGACAACTCCTTTGGGGTCACGGTTCCGTGTTTATTCGGCGTCCCCGGTGATGGTCACGCCACAAAGATTTGTCCCGTTCAGATCGATTGGCTCGGCTGGAGCACAGGGCAGCCCAACGCAGGCACTCACTTTGTCGTCCGGGCTGAGCAGAAACGAACCAGAAATCAGGTTTTTTTTTAAAAGAAAGTTCGGTGCTTTTGCTGAGTCCTACAATAGGGCTGTAGCAGTTTGCCTTGCTGCAGATGTTCCAGTTTACAATTTATAAAAGGACGTTTTATTTATTTTTAGGGAGCCTGCCTGGATTAAAGCCCGCAGAATGTGCCACGAGCAGAACAATTTTTATCACGGCTAAATCTTTGGCAGAATGGTTGCGCTGTGTATGTTCTTTTGGATTATTAGCCATATGTCGCTGCTCATTTCAGGTGGGCTTAATTTTCTATTTCAAGGAGCAAGTCCGTGCGAAAGATTTCCTTCTAGTGTTTAAATCTAATGTGCCGCTTAATCACTGAGTAGCTGAGGTTTAACATGCATGAAAAGCGCCAGAGAATAAACTGGGCACTGCAGTAAATCACAGACAGCGAGACTGTGCACATGTTTTAAGGGTGAGCGTGAACATGCTTTAAGTGCAAGCGTGTCTGTGTTTTAAGGGCGAGTGTGGCATGACTTTAGGGCACATGAACAGGACAACAGACGGGACCTCAGCTTAACATCTCATCTGAAGCACCTTTGACAAAGCAGCACTTCCCCCACCATTACCCTGGACTGTCAGCCTAGACTGTGAGTTCAAAATCCCTACGTGGGGTTTAACCCTTCAACCTTCTGACTCAGATGAGAGCGCTGTCAACTGAGCCAGGCTGACTCTCTGCAATAATAGCATCGCTGCAATCTTCCCATTCACCGCAGTCCTCACCTACATTCTTTTCTAAGAGCAGGCTGTCACTAGGAGGTTCGGGACTTTTCGATGCCAATGCTGGCTGGAAATGAGGCATATTAACGAACTTATAATCCGATGATCTGCTGATATTAAATTCCGAGGCTTAGACTTTATCAGTCGACCTTTCAATTTGGCAGCCAATGCTTGTGCCTATATTAATTTTGCTCTGCGAGGCGCCTGCATTATCAAAGGCTCATCAACTAATGTGCAAGATTTTAGTCATGAGAAATGAGAGGTATGTAATGCTAATTCGCAATTTCAAAGTATTTCAGAACTGAGAAACTTTTGACCTGAGCTTCCGTCTTGTGTTAGCCTGTGATTTGTTCAAAGGACAAGCGATGCGATTTTAGCTGCTTAGAGTTCAACAGTTACCCCAACGCGTGCTCTGGGGTCCCCAAGCCTGAGCTCTTGCCAACCTACGCCTAATACTTTCCGGAATTAGGTAAGCAGAATGCATCCCTCCGAGGTAGAGAGAGCGCATTCCATTCCAGCAATCTGTCTCTGGGATTTCCATGTGTAGGTGGGATGCACGGATTTCTAGTTTCGTTTGGATACTCTTAAGCAGGGTGATGGTTTCCACATGAATCTAATGCCAGGCTGACCCCCGCACCCCCCCCCCCCCCCCCCAAGATCATTTTGATTGTCAATCCCATGTTAATTTGAGAAATCGGTTTCTTTGTGCGAACCTCGGAAAAATACAGCTTCCAAACTCCAGGAGAAGGGCACCATATAAATGAAAGTTGTTGTTGTCGTGGAGATGTCTCAATGTGCTTCCCAGGATTTTTCTTTGTCGAGTGTATTTTATGGGTGAGCGGCAACATTGAATTGAAAGAATGTTTCCCCAATTCTGCGCAGAACTTGTATTTCAAGAGAAAATCGTTTTAATTGGTGAAAATCGTTGGAACTTAGGCCTAAAAGCAGCTTTTGCTACAATCTGCTGCACGGATCTTCAAACTAATATCAATCTATTTTAGTACTTTTAAAATCTTTGTCAATCAGTAACACTCACCTCAAATTTGCCCTTACAAATGTGCTATTAACTTCTGTGATGAATCTTAATATTTTAACAAGATTCATTGTAGCAGATATTGAGAGATTGTAAAACAAAAACAGGTTAGTGAACATTAAAGAGCTTTGATTGCCCTTCATTCGTAGTTCAATAATAATTATAACACTCGTTTGATGACTGACAGAGAGACAGAGATTAAAGTACTTATTCAGTATCACACGAGCACAGCGATTAATTTTTTTTTGTAGAGATGTTGAATACATTAACGGGTGAGTTTTCAGCCGTTTTGCTACCAGCTCTCCACAGTTCTATCCAGGAGTCACTCCGATTTCTCCTTTATTACTTGCTGTGGCATTTAATGCAGGAAAAAGGGTCGGGAGTCTTAGAATCAGATTGAGACTGGTGGATATTAAACAATGTGAAGATTTCTTCACACGGAAGGAAGGTTGTGAAATGTACCATGTGCTGTCACGGAGGCCAAATCAATTGATGTGTTGAAAAGGTAGTTTGATAAATCCAAGGGATATAAAAGGACTAAAGGGATCGGGAGAAAACGTGGGCAAAATGGGATTAGAGAAACAAAGAGCTGCCTTGAACTAATATAATGGTGGAGCAAGCTCAATGGGTCGAGCCTGTTCCTATGGTTGTTTCGGTCACTTTCAGGGCTGTGTAAAGTCTAGGATGGCTTGGATAGATATTTGCTTTGTATGTACTGAGAATTCCCATTGTTTTTGTGGCGGGGGAGATTGTTATCCCGAGCTGAGCATCACCATCCATGGTCGCACACTCCACCTCGCTAAGCCAGTCCGGAACCTTGGGGTCTTGTTTGACTTTCAACTATCCTTTCTACCCCACATCTGCGCCACGACTCGCTCTGCTTTCCCCCACCTCCGCAATGTCGCCCGGCTCCGACACTGTCTCCCACCGCAGGCCACCAAAACCTTCATACACGCCTTCATTACAACGAGGCTCAACTATGCAAACTCACTGCTTGTCGGCCTCCCCAACTCCTCCCTTTACAGGCTGCAGATCATCCAGAACTCTGCAGCCCGTGTCCTCTCCCACACTAGGCTCCACGGCCCTATCACTCCCATCCTTGCTCAACTCCACCGGCTTTCCATCACACAGAGGATACAGTTCAAGGTCCTGGTCCTCACCTTCAGAGCCCTCCACGGTCTTGCTCCCCCCTATCTCTCTGACCTCCTAACCTCCTACCACCCTGTTCACTCCCTTTCAGCACAGGAGGGGGTTCATTTGACCATTGAGTCTGGCTCACTCCTCCCTATTGTTCAATATGTCTCCCATAGCCTTTGGCGATGCTAGTCACCAATAATAATCATGATTCTTGCATTTGATATGACATCATTGAGACATCTCAAAACCCTTCACACGATATTCATTTTCAGATCACCCCTTAAGATCTTCCTCTTCGACCGTGCCTACAGTCACTTCTACCCTTCATCGTTCTCCACCACTGTGAAGCGCTCCAGTAAAATGCAAATGCCAGGGATGAATTAACGCGTGGAACAGGTTGCCAGGAAGGGTGGTTGAGGCCAGGACACTGGGACTTATTTGAGAAAAAACATCTTGATGCTGTAACGGGAGGAAAGGAAGGTGGATTTTCTGAAAGGGCCTCAGGTGCTTCCTTTTCCAATTCCCCCCCTTGTGATCACAGGTATTGGATTGAAACTCTGGGCTACTGCTCATGACTCCCAAGGTCCAGCAATTGATCGCACAGTCTTAAATAACATCGGCACCAATATTCCATCTGATTTATTGGAGATCTCCGCTCACAAAGGTGTAATTGATCAAAGGTTGAGCGAGTAATGGAATACGGATCAATTGTTCTGGTGAGATGGGAATCTTTCATTGTGTTGTGATGGAACCTAGCAGGCAGGTGTCCACGAGGATAGATTTGCTGTGGGGACGACATTGAATTGTCTTTTTTTCTAAGGTGTGAAATATTTAATCCTTACCCGTGGAAAAATCATCGGCATGTCATTAATTCTTAAAGATTGTGTCCTCTTACAAACTGTGGGCCAGCAGTCCTTCCAATTCCCACTTGTGAATTATCATTTTTATCACTTTTCACAGATACGAAATGTTCATTCTTTGGGGGATTAAAATAACTAATTTCCCCAATGGTAAAATTATCCTGTACTCTTTAGGTGTGAATGGCAATTTCAGTGCCCTGACAGTTATGGAAATCTTCTTTGGCTATTAAGTGCATGACTTTTATTTTTCTCTGATTGTCACCAGTCCTTTGGATGAGACCTTAAACTGAGGCTCTGTCTGTGTGTTTTCAGTGGATATTAAAGCTCCTGTGTCACTATTCACAAAGAGAAGGGAGTTTCTCTCTCTCTGTGTCCTGCGCTAAAATCCTCAAACCCTTCAATCCTTCAAAATTGGTCATTCATTTCATAGCTGCTCGTGGGACACTACTGTGTGCAAATTGGCCGCCTTGTTTGCCTTTAAAATATCCAGTCACTGCACTTTGCAGTGAAATTCTGTGAAGCATTTTTAGATCGCATGATACAGCGTTAATGGAGGCAGAAAGGCCTTTAGGCTCCTATCCCACAGTCCCTTCGCCTCACCTCCTCCCTTGCCCCCTTCAAGGCCCGTCTCAAGACCCTCTTCTTCGACCTTGTCTGCGATCACCCTGCCATCCGTGCCCTCCACCCCTCCTGATCCTAATGCACAGCTCGAGTACAAATCCTTGACAGTCCAGCGCCTTAGGACGTCAACCCAATGTGAAAGGCGCTATACAAATGCAATTGGTTGTTGTCGTTGTTCTATTCAAATACCATTATTATTATGATGATGATTAATATTTTGGGAACATCTCACCCTCACAATCTGAACTTTCTTTCCAGCTTGTCGGCCAGGGTCTTATAAGATGTCAGCTCGAGAGTTGCAGTGCTCCTGGTGTCCTGACCACAGTTACACAGAGACCGAGGGATCTGCTCAGTGCTCCTGTGAGGACGACTTTTATAGGATGCCATTGGATCCACCATCAGCCCCCTGCACCAGTAAGTCAGCTCTACTTATAATAATATAATCCTTGCATTTGACACAGCGCCTTATCACGTCTTCGAGACGCCTCAAAGCACTTCACAGAATATACTATAATGTGAATTGACTCTTTTATTTTGTGGGTGAATCTCGGCAGCCAATTGCACACAGCAGTTTCCCACAAACAGTCATGGATTGAGGGCCAAATTATTATTAATAATAAGAGTTGAACCTAACTTTCTTAAACTTGGAAGAAAATCGGATTAAGAAACCTTAAATTCAGAGGCAATAAATTACATTGGCTGCAAAATTCCACTTGGTCTTTGCCTACGAAACCATTTAGATTTAAAATTTAAGACAAAACGACATTGTGCAAAATTCTTAAATGCAATCTTAATTTGGACGTTTTTGTTTCCCCCGATGTTCTTAAAGAATAATAAGAAGGATCCTTGCATTCCACCCACAAAATATACAGTTAATTAACTTTACAGTATATTCTGTGAAGCGCTTTGAGATGTCTCGAAGACGTGATAAGGTGTTATATCAAATTCAAGGATCATCATTATTTGATACAGTGTCTTATCATGTGAAGACGTCTTTGAGACGTCTCAAAGCGCTTCACAGAATATATTGTAAAGTGGAGTGACTGTGTATTTGTGGGCGAAACGCCCATAAAGGAGGGAACCGACTTCAAAATTAAAACTGAATTAAAGGATTTCTTTTTGCAGTTCTTTGCGATCTTAAATTATAAGACAAGTGGTCTAGCAGCCCCAGACTCTTTGCAATTTTTGGGGCCACGTGTACGCAAAGATTGTTTGAGCGCTAAAAAATAAATTAAACTCGGGCAAAATACCTCTCTAAATCCTGAGCATATATTGCAGACGTTAATGTGTTTTCGTGGGATGATGCACTTGTAAATTTATCGGGTCTTTGCAGAACATTGCCTCTGTCAGCAATATTTAAAAACTCAGCCGCATTTTCACTCCCATCAATTGTTTCAGAGCTGGTATACACATTAGGGCCGGCCCGCTCAGTAAATCGTCAATGCTCTGTACAGTCAGCTTAGTCCAGGATTGCCGAGCCCAGCATACTCAATCATGCACTATCACCTCATTAGGTAATGGGATAGAAAGTGAAATATACATTCATTAACCAGGGATTGAGGTTTGATCTATTTATTGTTGACAGAACTGTTGCGAGGATCTTCAAGTCTCGGGGATTTTGAGGGGTTATGAATAGTTATCCTTCTCACACGAGTACTCTTGTAGGGAGGTAAAAGAACGAGGGACAATTATTTTCTCCAATGTAGGCCGTAGTTAGTGGAACCCAGCGCGCCCACAGTGCGGTGTGGCTAATCAGCAAACTTGCTTGTGACGGGCACAGGTCAACCCGTACTGGTGGACCTGTCATGAGACCACGTGTGCTTTAGCAACTGAGAAGCAAGTCACTGGCTGTTCTTTCCTTTGTGCTGCCTGTTAGATGGACCAGAGTTAGAGCATCGTGTTCAGGCACTGGTCACCCACTTTAGGCAAGACAACAGGGCCGTAGAGAGAAGCAGGGGAGATTTACTATATGATACTGGGGATGAGTGGTTTGACCTATGAGCAGAGACGGGAAGAACTGGGCCTATTTATGCAGGTGCGGAGAAGGTTGAAAGGATTCCTGATTGAAGTCTTTGATATGATGAGGGATTTTACTAGAGTTGATGGGGAGAAATTATCACTACCGCGTTGGTCAGTCAGTGACTCGAGGGCATCAGTGTAAGATAGTTAGCAAAAGGGGGAGATGAGGAGCAATGTTTTTACACAATGTTAGGATGTAGAACTCCTGCCAAGTGCAGTGGTTGAGGCAGGATCTGAATTGGTAAAGCGGGAACTGGATTGATATTTAAAGGGGAATAATTTGCAGGGGTTTAGGAAAGGCTGGTCAACAGAACTGAATAGATTTCTCCCTCAAGGAGTACCACAGCAACAACTAGCATTTATATAGCATCCCTCACACAGGGTAGGGTCCCAGAGAGTTTCCAACACCGACACAATGAGACCAATGGCCTTCTCTGCCCTGAGTTTCTCTGGTTCTTGGTCATACGAGACTTTCAAAGATTGAGCCTATAATGGCTGTTGGATTTCGGTAGTGTTGTGTATGCTGATCCTCTGAGCTCGCTCTTGAGTTTCTAAGTTAATGGCTTGTCATTTGCTGTTGACGGACGCTGTGTGTTTGGACAAAGGATTTAACGCCATTGTCATGGTATCGGTGCTTATTTGCATTTCATCAAATTTTTACTAAATGTCAAGGATTGGTTTTGAGTGAGCGTATTGAAAGTACTGTTAAGCAGATGTGTATTACGTTATACCTTATATATTATATTATCGTGGTGTGTGACAAGAATACATTCTAGGACAATGCATGTCCTCACACTACAGTACCTGATGCGAAATACAATCACGGATTATGACAATAGTAATAATAATCCTTACATTTGATTACCGCTCAAAACTGGCTGCCACATTCACCTACAAAACACACAGTCGTTGCACTGTGAAGCATGTCCTCCTGACAAAGAAGGTGCTGTAGCAAGGATTATTATTAATTCTATTATAAGTTTTTTTTTCTTGTGAAATCTGGGAGTGTGTCGGGATTGAAGGCAAAGCACAAAACACTCGCGGGGAGCGCAAAATGAGTCGGGGGAGGATTAAAAAAAACACAGTTAAGCAACAAGGAGAGAAGAATCAAAACCGTCCGTAGCATTAAACAAACGAGCGCTGCAGCAACAGCCGTAACTTGCACTCATTAAATAGACGCCACAAGGTTCATTCTACATTCTGATTCCGCGCGCACAACAAAGGCGTGATGTTACTCTTCACACCGTGTCCTCTCGCTTACCCCCCCCCCCACCCCACACAGGACCACCATCAGCTCCGCAGAATCTCGTCTGCACCACGAGGCAGTCCACGGTGATTCTAGACTGGACGGCCCCCAAGGACAGCGGCGGGCGGACGGACGTGATGTACAGGGTCCTGTGCAGCTGGTGTTCCCTGTTGCTGACCGAGTGCGAGCCGTGCGGCAGCCGAGTGGGGTTCGTGCCCCAGCAGGTGGGACTGGCGGACACCACCGTCACCGTGCTCAACCTCCTGCCGCACCTGAACTACACCTTCAGGGTGGAGGCTGTCAACGGGGTTTCTGAGTTGAGTCGCGCTCCCAGGAAGTACACGGAAGTGGCGGTGATCACCAGCCAGGCTGGTAAGTGCCGAGGCGGGTGGGCGGGAAAGTCACAGTTCTTGTTCACACTCTCATGTTCTACACGTCTTCCAGTTACTCATGTTCCGCTAACTCCCTCTGCGCATCGCTCGCCACGAAATCAGTGGCCGAGCTTTAAGCCACCACCACTCCGTCTTGCACCCCCCACCCCCTTGCCCTTGTTCAGTTCACACCCGAAGACCGTCCTTCATTTTTGACCGTGCTTATGGTCACCTCCCCTCCCCTCCACAACACCACCCCCTACCCTGGGTCTGCAATTGAGTTTCCCCCAGGGTCCTGGCTAACTATCCTCCAGATATGATTACTCCCCACTTCATGGCTGTTTGTGGGACATTGCGGTGTGCAAATTGTCTCCCAACAAATTGCAGTCGCTACACATTACAGTGAAGTGCTTTGAGATGTTTCGACACTGTGATAAGTCCCTGTTTCAAAGGAAAGATTATCATTATTCATAATGTTAATAAGATTCTCCCATGAAATGTTCAGTGAATTCACTTTGCAGTATATTCTCTGAAGCGTTTTGAAATGACTCAAAGACGTGATAAGGAGCTATGTCAAATGCAAGGATTATTATTACAAGATGCAAGTGTTTCTTCAGTTCCTTTGCTTTGAATGGCATTGTCCCGTGTATTTTGAGAGCTCGATTGACTTTGCAGAGACTGGTGCGAGGAAGGCTTTTTCCGATAAACTGAGTGACGGCAATATTGGTTTACATGATCTCTTATTGGTTTATGTGATCTCTCTGAAAGGCCGTTTTTGTTGTATTGCAGATTAAGAAGGGCTTTGGTCTAATCCAACCTGCCGGCTTTAAATGGGTCGAGTTATAATCAAAACTCTCACTGTTTTAGTGCCTGTCCTTTGTTTCTACATCTCCTCTAATAAGTACCATCCTTATCAGCCTGATATATATTATGCTCTTCACAAAAGCTACTGTGGTGTTGATTGTGAGAGTAAGAAGCTTTCACTATCTCTGTTGGCTTTGCTGTGCTGATAAAACCACTTTCTACAGGGTGATTAAAAAAACTCGTGATACCATTATAATGTCTAAGAAGTCTTAAAGAAATTATGCTTTTTTGTTCGATAATAGGGTAGCTGAAAAATAAGACTTTGTGGTCATCCTCTATGTGTACAAACCTAATTTTCGGTTTGCACATACTGAGCTTTCTTGCACATTATCACAACATAACTCTGAAATTTGTATTTGCTTTCTTAGTTGTCAAATTAATTGTATGATTCTTATAATACAATCAGCTCTTCCCATCAATGAGGCCCAGATGAACTTTCCGACCATCTGAATCAATGGAAGACCGAATGGAAGGAGCATGTATCTGTACTTGGGCTTGTGTGGAATAGGCTTTGAGGAAATCAATGGAAGACCATCTGAATTGAGATGTTTAACTTGTTCAGTTTACGTGTGTGTATGTGAGTGCTGCGTGTCACTCGTGTGTGTGCGATCGTGTGCGTGCATGCGCACATATGCTATGTGCATGTGCAAGCATGCTGTATGTGTCAAGAATTTGTATGTATGTATGCGTACAAGTGTCTTTATGTCTATAAAGGTGTGTTACGTACGTGTACATTGTGTGTGTGCCATGTACTTTCCCCGGGTGTCCTACTCTGCTGTATGCTAATTGACTGCTGCCGTGTCCAACAAAACACAGTCATTACATTTTGCAGTAAATCCTGCAAAACTCGCTGAGATGCCTCAACATTGTGGAAGAGGTGCTATATTAAATGCAACAATTATTAATTCATTACCATTATCATGATACCTAGGGACTGATCAATTCAGCCTTGGTAACACTGGTGCTGAGATGACAGTGGACAGTGCGGTCTGACCAGAGACCTCCCTTCGTGTTGTAATTCTCTTCAATCCTGACTGCCAATTAGAGGAGTATTAGAAGGGATTAAGGGATTAAAAGTCTCTTTAACTGGGTGCTTCACTCACTATTTGTCTCTTTTTGGTTTCAAGGGTGCAAAGCAAAGGCCTGTAGTGGGTGGGAAATGGAGCAATATCTCGAGATTTTCACCCCCTCGTTCAGTGTTCTTTCTTGCGTGTTAGTCATGGTGTTCAAATCTGGTGACCTTTCAGGTGGAAGATTCTCTTTGTTCTTCCTCATGCAGAGGAGTGATGGACACATCTTGGCCTTGGTGCTGCTCTTTCACAAACTTGTGCGTTTTTCCCTTGTTGTTAACTTTGTCCGAGCCAATTACTTTTCTTCCTGATTTGCCTTTTTGCTACAGGTAAAGAGTTTGATCCAGTGGAGGGATTGAGGCAGGGAGATCCAGGGATTAGGGGTGTAGAAGGCAGCGAGGAAGGGGATGAGGTGGAGGAACATTACGTTTAACAGGTGGTCTGCAGTTTGGAGAACCTTTGGAAACCACCAGTAAGATTAGACATTCCATACAGCAGACACCATTGTGTGTTTTGTACCAATTTCATTAATAGACGGGCTAATAGAACATCTCCTGAAATTAATACTTACAGCATCTCGCAGGATCTGTATAATGCTCCCCAGTTCATTTTTCACTGTCATGTCCCTCTGTCCAAGGTATGAATCACATTAGGTGCATTGCTACCAGTTATGCGAACAATTAGTGCTTGTAATTATTAGGAAATCCATTTAACAAACCTGACCCAGACCTGCTCAAGCAGATGTGGATTTTCAGAGCTCAGGAAAGCAATCATCACTGATGTATGGAGGTACTGAGGGGTGTGCTGTAGGCTATGATGTATGGGACTCCTGTGTGCTACACTGGTTGATCCTTATTTGTTTCTTGGAGGATAGAGTGGAGTCCTGTAGCTCAGTGGTTAGAGCGCAAGCGAGAGACCTGGGTTCGATTCCCGGCAGGGCCAAACACTGGGCAAGTTTCTTTACTCCACACTGGATTACTGCACTTCTTTATACAGTCACTGCAACCCGTGACCACTCAGTCACTACACTTTGTGACCGATGTCAGTCACTTTCCCCAGCAGAGGCAGTTCATCCCCTTACTAGGATTTGATTAACTGTATTGATAACTACTTCACATTGACCGGAAATCTTTAATGGATCTTGAGTGAAAGATCAATATTCATGCCCGGCGTATTATAACAATGTCACAGATCATTCAACTACTACAATAATGATCAATTATTCAAATCAGTAGGAAATCTACTTGCTATTGGCTTAGTGTCACGGAAAATGTCAGCTCAGTTCATGGTCTGTCCTTCCTCGATGAAATGTGTTTTTACTAACTCCAATAGTGTACAACTCAAATGCAACAGAACTCTTAAACCCAGTGTATTAATAATACAAAAGGTTAGGTAATGACCTTCTACTTCTCTGGGTCTATGGAGTCTCTACAGATTGATGATGGGTCAGAAGATTGTAGGTTCGAACCTCCACGTCCAGACATTGAACTCACAGTCTGTACTGACACCCCAGTGCAGTGCGAAGAGAAGGCAACAATCCCCCAAATAAAAATCAGTCGTTCACTTCATGGCTGTCTGTGGGACATTGCTATGTGCTGATCGTCTGCCAAGTCCATCCACAAAAATACAATCACTCACGCTTTCCCGGGGTTAATAATCCCTCCTGAAAAAAAAATCCTAATAATAATTTGGTCCCTCAATCTACGACTGTTTGTGGGGACGCTGCTGTGCAAAATTGGCTGTCGCGTTTCGCCCACAACATATACAATCAGTTCACTTTACAGGATATTCTGTGAAGCGCCTTGAGACCTTTTGAAAAGACATGATAAGGTGCTGTAATCAAATGGAACGATGTCTTTTCATTTAAGTGCTTTAAGATGGCCTCCCGACGTTTAAGGCGCTAGAATAAATGTGAGGATTATTTATTATTAATATATTATGATTAAAGCACATTAGTGTGTATTAATCGGCGATGGAGATCTTGTTATCCAGGGAGTTCCAGTCTCTGCCATTGCCCCTCACTGTGCTGCTTTCAATGCTGCCAATGGTCAGATGGTTTAATTTTGATCTCTGCGTGGGTGTTGCTGGTCAGAAAGTGATGCATGTAATCTGATGGAACATTTCAAGCAAGAAGCACGTTCATCAACAGTCTCTGCGGGATTCAGACGATAACAGCCGGGAATTCTCTAAAAGATGAACATTCCTGCATCGTTTACAAATTTGTCCTTTGAACATACCATTCGAGGCGGAAATGTGCATCGAGTCCTAACCGTCAAATCCTTTTGCAAATGTGATTCCCTCCTGCAATTCTGAGCAAGTGTTAATATTTTGGTTTTCTGTGTATTGAAGTAGTAATAACAACAACAACTTAGACTTATATAGCGCCCTCCACGTAGGGTAACGTCTCAGAGCGCTTAACAGTGGCGGAGCCTGACTCCGAGCCTGGGGTGGGGGGGCGGAGGGAGGTGGCTGTAAGCACGTGAGCACAGTCGTAGAGGAAGGTTTTCAGGTAGGACTTGAAAAAACGGAGAGATGGTGCAAGGCGGAGGGATTGGGGGAGAGTGCCACAGAGTTATAACAATAATCCTTGCATTCAATACAGCCCTTATAAAGCATTTCCCGGGTGTACACTTAAACCCAGGGTAGTCAGACTAATAGCGGGGAGATCCGATCCTGCAAGCTGGAATTTCCGGCTAAGTGTAATTATGATGGGGTTTTTTTTTGAATATCCCTGTGAATATAAGTCAATATCCCTGCCCACTGTGGAGGCCAGCAGACAGAGAGGTTGCTCAGTGCAGCATTGGCGACACTCGGAGAGTTGGAAGTCAGGAGTCTACACGTGCGCGGAAATGATTTTGTCCAAGTTGCACACGGCAATGTCCCACAAGCAGCCACGATGTGAGGACACCTGGCCAATTATCCCCCTTAGTTGCATGGGATCTTTAACATCCACCTGGACAGGCAGATGGGACCTCGATTTAACGTCTCATGCGAATGACAGCACCTCCGACAACAGATTGCATGCCAAGACTACATGAGTTCAACGTCGCGACGTGGGGCTTGAACC